AAAAAAAAAAAAAAAAAGACAGACATAAAAAGACAGCCAGAGACAGAGACGAGAGAGATGTGTGAGAGCGGGTAGGTGGGGGAGGATAAGATGTCCCAGAGTCCACCACTCTTCAAAGTGCAGGCGTGAGCCAATGCTTCCCTGAGGGAAAATGACCGAGAAAGAGAGAGAAATAGACCTTTTATCTTCCTGTAGTTTGAAATTTCTAACATTCTACAAATTCATAGGTTGTCTGGGCTTTTCACTTTCTCTCTCTTTCTCTCTCTCCGATATACATATACCTATACATACTCATATACACCAGGGATGCCCAAAAAAATGTATACACATTTGAAGCGATATTAAGAGATATTCACCATAATCGGAAATGTCTGGACACTGATGGTAACCACTTTGAGCCCCTCTTGCAATTGCAGAAGTCAAATATGTGACTTGTCAGTATGACTTGTATCCACCTTTTGCTATCAGAATATATTGAGTATTACAATTTTAATAGTTTTTTCCTTTCTTAAAATGTATACTTTTTTTGGCACCCTCTATATTTACACACACACACACACGTATGCATACATATGTGTATAAAATGTATGCCATGTAACATATGTAAATATCTTAACAAATATTACTTATAGCTATAACTTAATTTTTATTTACATGTTTATGAATTTTTCATTTTTTTATAATTCATAGGTATACTTTAAAAATCAAGAAAAAAACAAGAAGCAGGAGGAGGACAGAAGTTAAATAATGTTTCTAGGTCTTCCCAAGCCATATACCTGAGCATCCTGTCCAACTTTAGCTGTTCTTAAAGTCAGAGTCCCCCCATCTCAGCCATGACAGCATCAGATCAGTTCACTAAAGCAGACAGATTCACTAGGCCACAAGATGTGAACTGCTTCTGCATAGTTGATCCTGTGGTATCCAAATACAAACCATACCAGTTCCATTTAGGAAATAATGTCCATTTCCAATGCAGTGCCTGCCTCTGGACCATAAATCACACTTTCCTACTGACCATGGCCAACCTCTCAACAGTGTTTGCTGGACCACAGGAGAGGATAGGGGAGAGGGGTTGAGAAGTGAAAAAAAAAGAAAAAATAGAGAAAGTCCTACATTAAAAATAAAACCGAGTAGCCCTTTTTAAAGTGCCCTGCCTAGATAGGCTCATTCTAGCCACCATCACATGTAAGCATGTGTTTTTGCTGGTAGCTGAGACTAAGAGACCCAGGCACATGGGCAGGTGTGTGGGGTCCCTGCACACTTAGTGTTGTCCCGCAGCTATGCCCTTTGCCTTCTCCTCATCATTATCTCATTCCTACTTCTTTCTCTACTTTGAGAATAGCTGCATGCATTTTTAGCCACTTTTAATCTTTCTTCACCCATTCTATCAACATGATTTTTTACTATGTTCTTATAACATTAAGCATTGTCTAAATGTGTCCCTTGCTTCATCTTTGAAAATAATTGAGTCTTACTCAATAGCCAGTGTTTACCATGTTTAGTCCCTGCTGAGCCTTAAACTGAAGACAGAATTTCTTATTAGGCATTTGCCAATACTTCATGAGAGATTCCAATTCTACTGCTGCCTTTTAAATTATATATTCAAGTGATACAAGTCAATTCCAGAATCTTGAAGAACAAATGTTACAGGTCTATATAGGTGCATGTTTTTGTTTCTGTTTTTGTTTTTTTGAGTAGCAGTCTCACTCTGTCATCCAGGCTGGAGTACAGTGGCATGCTCATGGCCTCTGCGGCCTTGACCTGCTGGACTCAGCTATTCCTTCCACCACAGCCTTCCAAGTAGCTGGAACTACAGGCATGCACCACCACACTTGGCTAATTTTTCTTGATTTATTGTAGAGACGGGGTATGGTCAAGTTGCCCAGGCCGGTCTTGAACCCCCTGGGCTGAGGCAATCCTCTCGCCTCTACCTCCCAAAGTGCTGGAATTACAGGTGTGAGCCATCATGCCCAGCAGGTGCATGTTTTTAAAAAAAAGATCAAGGACTTTACATTTTTAAATGTATATATACATATATATACAATATGTATAACAGCAATGCTATACATTCTTTATTCTCCACAGAAGCATCAGTGTATGCTACAGTGAACCTGTTTACTTCCTAAATGCATCACTTTCTATAAACACGCACTACTGCACTCTCACTGTTCTCCTCTCCACAGCTGCTGGGCCACTTCACAGGTGTTTTTTAATAAACAGTTCCACCTGGGAAGTTTGTAAACCCCTGTACTTCAAAAACGTTTATAAATACAATGTCCTCATGTAGAAAGAGCTCAAAAAGTACCCCCCAAAAAAGAGAGATTTATATGTGATTTAAATCAAAAGTCACAAACTTTAATTCAACATCTAAACCACTGAACAGCATGTAACGGCAGTCAGTGGCATGAAGCTGAGTGTTTTGCAAATCTGCTACCAAACAATGAAATGGGATAATTTAAAAGTATTGTTAACTCAATAAGGAATAAATGCTAGACACTGCCCTTCAAGCATAATTGAAGATAAATTAAATATATCATCGTATACTTAACACTTTATCATTCTCATCAGCCTCAACATGGCATTTTCAAAAATGTTCTCAGATGAATAGAGGCAATGTCAGCCTATTTTCCTGATTGGAAAATCAGGTCTCTAGGCCTCACTTGGCCGGCAAAGGCCTGGATAATTTTAGATCATATCACTGTACCATCATATTCTTTTCACTAACAATGGATTTTTCAAATTTTGTACATAGGTTTCAAATTTTAGAAGTTCTTTTCAAAATATAATTTTGGCAGATTTGTTGATTTTGAGTGATTCAAACATCTATGTTGAACTTCATGGAAGACTAAAATTGTAGGATTCTCTACAATTTTAACATAACTAGGAAATCAAAACACCAAGTCCTCATTTAACAAAGAACTGAACAGCCTTCACTTCTCATTTGGTCATTTCATTCCATTACTTAAGTTTGCCCATGTTCACATCAGCTTTAACATGGAGTCATAAGATGTGATATTCTTCACGGTAGTTCTGCTGGCAGAGTGACGGAGGTTGTATCTGTCAGCTCTAGTTCCCCACATTCTATGCCAGCTTGTACACAGCTTTTCACTGTAAATGAGATTTCTAGTGCTCAGACGAATGTGAAGCTCCCCATCATTTTCTGATGTCCCCACTCCCGTGATTCTAAAGAAGCACTTAACCCATGAAGTTTTGAGTGATACTCTTCATTGCATGCTCACCTACAAGTTCCATTCACACACTTTTCAACTTTTCTTTCAAACCACTAAAGGTGATATGATTGGGCTGTACTTTTAAATCTGGGTCAGCTATTTACAAGCTCACAGATTTCCCTTTGTTGTTCAAGAAGTATCTGGTCTATATTTCAAAGACGAGATTTCATTTATACCTGGATGCTGAGCAAGTTTCTAAATCACAGCTTTCAATAAAGTGGACTCCTCCCTAACACCACAATATACACATGTGCACACGCACGTGCCAGCACCTGCAGATGTGCTTGTAGCCCTAGGAGCAAGTCACATGGGTGCATGGGCTACAGGAGGCAACATAGTCAAACCGAACTGCACTTGTCATGGACATTTCTTGGAGAAAGGACTCCAGTCAGCTCACTTACCTGAGTGCCCATTGTACCTATCTACCCAGAGTCAGAATTAGAATTGTCATTCTTATCTCCTAATAAACCTATGATGTAAGAAATCCCATCCTCCCATGACTTCCAGTGGATCCCAAGGTCCCAGCAATAAGCCCGACTAACAAGTGTGCTGGTTAATTAATTATAACAGTTTGTTTGCTTTGCAGCAGCCTGGAAACTATCACCAGTCCAGAGTACACTACGGCGTCTGTGAGCGCAGGGCTCTCTGAGGCTGGGAGCCACAGTTGCTACAGCATGTCTTGCTCCAACCAACCCGAGGCTGCCATATACCAGTGCCCTTTGTGTCTCTTCTGTTTGTTGAGAGATCCTGGAAGCACCTTCTTTGGAGCCCAAAAGTGTTGCTGGACACGGGCACAGCTGCTTGGTTCCCTCCATCCCAGGGCCTTATACTCACAGCCATGCTGGATGGAAGGCTCTGACAGTCTGCTTAATATTTGCCTGCATTACCTGGGAGCAGGCTTTCCAGGTACATGTGGCATTTAAAAGACATAAATGTAGCCGGGCTCAGTGGCTCAACCTGTAATCCAGCGCTTTGGGAGGCTGAGGTGAGTGGATTGCCTGAGCCCACGGGTTCGAGGCCCTCCTGGGCAACTTGGCAAGACCTCATCTCTACAATAAATCAAAAATTAGCCGGGCATGGTAGCGCACGCCTGTAGTTCCAGCTACTTGGAAGGCTGAGGCGGAAGGATGGCCAGAGCCCAGCAGGTCGAGGCTGTAGTGGCGGGGAGTGGCCACTGCACTCCAATCTGGGTGACAGAGTGAGACTCCAACTCAAAAAAAAAAGACATAAATGTGTAAATTCTCCACGGTTTGCTTTCACCCAGCATCCTAAGCCCATCTCTGGTCTTATTCAGGAGAAATCAACCAGAGTACCTAACCAATGGGTGCACTATGCCAAAGGAAAACCAAAACTCCAAATGTGCAGCAGACTCAGATTCAGACTCAGACCCTAAAACACTTACAAGGCAGTGTATCCTACGACTAAGCTTCATATAGATAGGCACTTCACTAATAGTTTATTTTAGATGATACCAGAAAGACCTAAAATAAATCAATAATTTAATTATGCAATTCGAGAAGCAAATGATTTGCAGAATACTTAAGTTCATTTAGACTTACAGATTATAATATAGACTATATTATTTTCACAGAAATAGTACTGATTCATTAGTTCTTATAGCTATTTCTTATAACATATGGAAATAATTTATTATACATAAGATATTTTCAAGGCCAAATGAATCTAATCTATACTTTCAAGTTTCCCAGTAGAGAACACACAAGTTTAAGAGGCAATTACATGGAATAGACCATGGACTTGTTTAATCCAGAAGAAAAACTGGAAACCATGTAGACCTGCTCCTTGTCAGCTAGGGGACAGACTCCACAAATGACTTGCCCAAGACCACACAGCAAGTTACAGGAATCCAGGCACCAGCTTAGGTTTCAATGACTGCTTTCCAAAAAAAAAAAAGTGAACTTTGAAAATAATGAATGACTCAGTTTTACACTGATTAAGGAAACAGCATTTAATTTTTTCAATATCAGTTGCAGCCAGAGTAATATATTAAGAAGCAGAAAATAGTTCCTTTTTAGGGTGTGGTAAAAAGACTGAGCCTCTGGCTCCCAAGTTGCTGGCCCCAGGGTCCATCGAGTACCTGCTCCCGGCTCTTCAGTCACAGTCACTGTCAATGGGAGGGAAAAAGGAGCCTTTGAAGGGAGCATTTGCTACTAATAAAAACAGCATTCTCTGGCTCTGTGATCCTCTCTTCTCCCTTCAACTGAAGACAAGGCGGTTTCGTCCACTTGGCCCCCTGGGGCTGGTACCTTTAGGGTCTGTTTTCTCTCTTTCCCTAGCCATGTTCACTTCCACTCATCACTATTCTTTCAACCTCTGGCAAGACGAGTAACTCACTTGAGGGATCCATCAATGTAGGCACCACAACTTGGTTAATAAGAGAGTTCTGCGCTGGCTAAACAGAGACAGGTGATGGTCATTTAAAGAGTTAGATCAAGAAATACAAAATTCACAGGAAGACAGACAGACAAGCTGGGACGTCAGAGAAAGTCAAGAAAATATTGTTCCCTAGAGTGCCCATTATTTAAAATGTAATTTCATTTCTAAAACCATCAGCAGCTCCCATTTCCAGGAAATTAATCAACTCGTTGCTCAAGACCTGGTCAGCTAAGCCCCCAGTGTACACAAGGAGCTCCTTTATGAGAACCCCACATGGCCGTGGTGTGTGTATTGTGAGAAGAAGCCCTTTCACTAGGCTGTTAGTCAAGGCAAGCCACACTGGAACTCACCTTCTCTTATGCCAAAGGAAACACAGTACACACAGATCAGCCCTGAAGACTCTTTTATGCTTCTTCAGTCTTAGCCAAATCTTAAAATCCCAAATTTCTGAAGTTTCACCCCATTTTCTACCTCCACTCCTCTTCCCCATATCAGGACCTTGTGGGGCAAACACCACATCCTGCTTCACTGCGAGTCAGACTCATGCATCTCCAGTATTAAACCAACACCTGTTCTTTCCCGCTCTAGCCGTGTGTATGAACACGAGCTTACATTGCATCTTAACATTTGTAAATTTCAGAATACAAAGATTTTACATAACCATTATCATGAAACAGCTGTAAATGTTCCCTAATCCAAACCACACTCCTCACCTGAATTATCCACATAGGTGGTCTCATCCCAGAGAAAACTAGAGTATCTTAGCTATGTTGTGAGATTATCTTAATAATAAGTTTCCAAGAGTTTGCACTTATCACCTGGTATGTAATATGTTTAAAGAATTGAAATTGCCCTGGCTGCTGCCCTTACCTGTAGGAGGGCCTTCGTCCCATCCTTCCGCCCTCCTAATCCGATGGGCAGTGAATCCCAGGCAGACGTTGACTCCAACAGCAACAGCGAACAGGGATATTACCTGAGGAGATAAAGAGACCGATGCTCGAACTCAGCCACAAGACTGAATCAGGTCACATCAGGGCAAGCGGACGCTTCACCATCACCCCCTGCTCCTACCACTCCCCAAGTGCACGGGTGAGGTGACCAGCAGAGAGAAACGTTCTCACTGTCCCTGGTTCTGCAGACCGAGCCCTTTGCGTCACCCGTCCTCCCACCTGGGGTGACAGGAGGCCGCTCCTCCCGGCCATGGTAGGCTCCTCGGAAAAGTCCGCAGCGTGCTCTCCGCCACCGAGGGCGCAGCCTGGGGGCTCGGAGCTTAGTCTATTAGCCGGAGCAACCCCACCGGGGAGGTTGACAGGCTCTTCTGATTTGTCTAGAGCCTGATTTCATCACCGTGTGTCCACAAATCGCAGCCCGGGGCTTAAAAGGCTCGAGATCGGCCCCTGTCCCCGCCCTCCGGCCCGCCCCGACCCCACACTCTCCTGCGGTCTCCACGGGCCGCAGGAGGGCCGCCTGTGCTCTGGGGCCGGCGACAGCCCTTTGCTCGCTTTCCTTCCCTCCCGAAACTCGGTTTGTCAAAAAGAAACCAAATGCATCTCGTCCGATAAAAATGCAACAGGGCTGCGCAGGGCTCCCGCCGGCTGCAGTCTCGGGGCTCACAATACTGCCATTCAGGGCCATCCACCTCACGACTTCAATTCTCTTGCACAGGGAAAGTTGTATAATCGGTAAGCCTAGTAACGCCCCTGCCTTCCCCCTTTATTTGTTTTGCTGGCATGGGGACGACCCTGTCCCTACGGCCACATTCTCGGCTGCTTCTGACTCCTCAGATGTTCCTCACGAGGAAATCTCCCAGAACTGTAACTAACCGAGGAGATAGCATTATTTTCTCCATGTTGTTATTAAAGTTGAGAGAAGTAACTTTTATCAAGCACTGGGAATGCCAGTGAACAGCATGAAGTCCTTCTGCCCTGTGGAAAAAAAAAATAATAACTACAGCCCCTACCTCTTCTTCCAGAAAAGACAGCCTGCTTCTGTTCTAGGAGCAGGCGAGTGGGGGAAGGGACAGCCAGGGGAAGCTTTATTAGCAATTGAATCCAGGAAGGAAACCTCTAGGGCAGCAAGAATTGAGATTTAAAGAATCGTGTCCTGGGTTGTTTCTCAGTTAAATTAACATCCAGCCTCCAAACACGGCGTCCTTCGAGGCTATTGTGAGGGCTCAAGTTTCTTTACTAAGCAATTTGGCAGCCAGGACACTTTCAAAAGAGAAACCGGGGCCTCTAAATCTGAAAGCTGTCTGAATAGCATGTGCCTTTAGGATTCAGAGGAGGGAGGTTTGTTCTGGCTCTTCCCTCCCAGGCCCAGGGACCCTCATTCTTGCTCAGCACATGTGTTCACACATAAACAAACACGAGCCTCACCACGCAGCGAGCCGCTGCTCACATAAAACATGAGAGTGCTGTAGCAAAGCTGTTTATAGTGGATCGCATCGGAGGCCTGGGTTTCATTATAGATTCTAAAACTTAGTAACAGCTCACTGAAAAAAAAAGAAGAAAGATGCTGCCAAGCCTTCCACTGCCTTCTAAAGCCCTTTAAGTTCGCATCCGTGCAGATGGCAGGCTTATAAATTTTTTTGCATGAGTCTTTCGCTCTCGTCTGCACATCATGCTGAACTTGCTTGGAGCTGGGTATTCAGCAAGGCTTCTAAAGGCTGTTAACCCCATGTAAGATCTTTCTACTATTTGTGTTACATCTCAAGACGTGAGCCTGCCATTACAGGGAAAAACTAGAAACCAAAAGGAAAACATCAAGGCAAGCCTGTGATTTCACGGCATGCCACATGCTCCAAATGTTCTACAACATCAGCCTCCTCCCCCGCAGCCTCCCAGGCCTCTCAGAGACTGATAGCTTTACTTGGTCTGACTTTTGATTGTGTAAACCCCATTTGAGGACAGTGAAGTTTACCCTTGGAAGAAAAGTAGAGAACAGAAGCTGCACACCTTCTAATGATTTTGTTTTTCCTATTTTTTTCCTTTTTCTTCTTCTTCTTTTCTTTTTTTGTGGTGCACAGCCTGGGTTGGCAGGAGAAGAGGTGTGAGTGTGATGGCCCTACTGACCCTCAGTGGCTTCTGCCTGGCACTTATCAACTGGGTGCAGCACAGCTGCCGTTTGTTAACCAATCTGCCAAAGGACTTTGTGCATAAGGCACTTATTGACACACACACACACACACACACACACACACACACACACACACCCTCCAGCCTTCATTAACAGAATTTTACTTCAAGGTTCTCATTATAAATTAACTGCCAGACTGAAGTCCCCAGCTTGGGCATCAGATCACCTGCAAAATACAATCATCCTAACCCCGACCCTAACCCTAAAGCTGAGAACACCAAAAGCCTGATAATGCATCAAGTTGGTCAAGAAACTCAACTTAAATGACTGGAATTTGTCCAAAACCTTCTCTCAGAAAACTAAATCAAAAAAGTTTACCTGCTATGGTGTTTGAGATTTTGGCAAAGGTCACACATGGCTAGCTCAGAGAAAGTGCAGGAGAAAGACTGAAAAAAATGCCCTTCCAGCATAGTTTATCATCCTGACTGTGTTTCAGAGAACACTGCCCCCTGGCAGAAGAAAACCTAGAATTCTAAGCAAATCTCTCAACATTCTCAGCCCCTGGAGATCAATCTGTGGTTCTCAAATTTTACTGGGCAGACAATCACCCGGGGGGGATTGTTTCAAATGCTGCTGTTTATGCCGTACTCCCCAAGATTATGATTCATTTGGTTTTGGGGGTGAGGAGGAGAGAAGTTTAGGGGCCAGAAAAGAGGGCATAATTGGTTATTTTGATGCAAGTCATATAAGAACCACATTTATTGAAATGGAGCATTGGCATAAATCACTGAACCAATTTGTTCATGCCCTGCATGTAGAATTGTTTGACCTAATTTATTGTGGAATTCTAATACATTATTAACAGCATCCACTATTAACTGGACATTAAAGTTTGGATCTCTTACGGACAAGCTACAGCTGTTCCTCAGGGGAGTCATCCCCAACCAAAGGCTGCAGAGCATAGCTTCATTTACTTTGCTGGTGGTACAAAGCCACAGTGTGTGTGTCGCTTAATTGCAGCACAGTGGTCGCATTTATACAAATGCACAGTCTACCTTTTCATGAAGGGGTTCTATACATCCTTGTTCCTGAGCCCTGAGTGAGATAAGAGGCCTGGAGGTTAACAGTGAGATCCAAAGGATGTGTGTCTGGGGTCGCCACTCCCATTTCCTGCAATAATGGCAGAATTGTCAGGGGATGGAAGCTTTATCTACATCCAGTTTCTCACTGTGTAGAACTAAGATGACTTGACTTGACTTAATATTATTCCAAGAATAATTCTAAGACGATGTGTGACATTAGACAACTATTGACGATGTGATTTTCCAGAGTATCACTGAGCAGAAACTACAGTACATATACTACAAAAGAAAACAACACCACATTGATCTGCCTATTGCACTTTAAAACGCTATGAATTGTCTTGGTTAAAAAAAAAAGTGGTTTTTTTTTTAAATTAATTAAGTCTTGCTTTTAAATTCACCTGGACAGCAATCTCTGCAAAAGAAATTCACCAGAGTAAATTAACAGTCTCTGCAAAGGGATTCACCAGTGTAAAGTAACAACCTCTGCAAAAGGATCTGTCATGTAAATTGACAATCTTTGCAAAGAGGTACCAGTATAAATTAACAATGTCTAAAAAGGGATTCACCATGTAAATTAATAATCTCTATCAAGGGATTCACAGTGTAAATTAACAATCTCTGCAAAGTGAATTCACCAGTGTAAATTAACAATCTCTGCAGAAGGGATTCACCAACGTAAATTACAATCTCTGTAGAAGGGATTCGCCAGTGTAAAGTAACAATCTCTGCAAAAGGATTTGTCATGTAAATTAACAATCTCTGCAAAGAGGATTTACCAATGTAAATTAACAATCTCTGCAAAGGAATTCACCAGTGTAAATTAATATCTCTGCAAAGGGGATTCACCATGTAAATCAAGCAGAAGGTTGAGAGGGCCCTCTGGCTCTTTGTCCCCATAGTCTAGGCTGCAGTGTGTACAGTGGAGACCACTTACAGTTCCAACCACCGAAGCACAGTCTTACGAGTAATTCAGGTCCCTTGGGCTCTCAGGGGAGAAACAGCGTATGCCTCTGAAGACACAAATAGGACTGGTGCCTTTAGTCCATCTACAATGGAAAGCTGTAGCCAACACGGTCACATTTTTTAGTGACTTACCTTGTCATAAACTTTTATGCACTATGCTCACTCCAAGAAGATTGACAGATATCCATCAGCTCCCACCAGGCGCCAGAGACTGCCCCAGGCACCAGGACCGTGGAGGGGGGTGGGAGGACCAAGCCAGACACACCTCACCCTCCTTGTTAATCAAATGACATGGAAGGAAATGGAGCATTGCAATGTGGTGACAGCAGGCGTGGAGAAGTGAGCGGTACTGTGGGGTGGGAACCTCATCAGGGTCACAGAAGAGAGTGTGGAGTAGGTGTCACTCAAACTGTGATTTGAAGGGTGGGAGGGAGTGACTAGATCAAGAAAGGAGAGCCAGGCTGGGTGGCTCAGCCTGTAATCCCGCGCTCTGGGAGGCTGAGGTGAGTGGATTGCCTGAGCTCGTGGGTTCGAGACCCGCTTAGGCAACTTGGCAAGACCTCATCTCTACAATAAATCAAAAAAATTAGCCGGGCGTGGTAGCGCGCACCTGTAGTTCCAGCTACTTGGAAGGCGAGGCTGCGGTGGCCGGGAGCGGCCACTGCACTCCAGTCTGGGCGACAGAGTGAGACTCCAACTCAAAAAAAAAAAAAAAAAAAAGAAAGGAGAAAAGATTCTAGACAGAGGGGACAGAATGTATCAAGGCTCTGTGTAGGACAGAGGGGCATAGCCATGAGCAAAAGACAGCCTGCTGGACTAGTGGAGGGGGGCAGGGTATATGAAGGGAAGGAAGGCTGGAGGGCCAGCAGAGACTGTCCTGCTCAGTTAGTGAGGGCCTTCCCTGAAGAAGAGTATGCCTTCTTAAGTCCTAATTGTATTGTAGAAAAGATAAAAGAGATGTGTGTCCATTTGCTAGCATCCTAGAATTAAATAGTTCAAATAAGAGATGTGGTTAATAGCTTTAGAACATTAATGGAGAGAAGGAAGGCGAGAGGGTAAGCAGAAGCCAGCCGCTGCACTAGAGAGGGGAACAGAGGGGATTGGAGGGAAGGGAGGCTGA